CAGATGAGCGAGCGAATGTACAAGTTACAGAAGGGGTGCGTGAGTGGCAACTGGGGTAGTTGTATAGGTGTGCCCAACTAGACGTGATCGAATGAGTGATGTAGAATGGGAAGAGAGACGCTTTGCGTCTGAGTCGGCTGCAACAGAGTTGGTGGACGTGAATCATCGCGATCCACCACCTCATTTTTATTTAACGTCTCGGGTATAGACTCCGTGTAATTAATTTATACTCACTCGACTTTTGGTTGCCCATTACACCTGTCGTATACTGGTACACATTGCGACACAAATAAAAATTCCTGTTATCGAGAGGACTGAGTCTTATTCCTCTTTTCTGACTACTACGTGTCGTAATGCCCCAACACAAAAAAACAATTTGCCTTTCCCAGAGAATGACTGTGAAAACGAAAAATAAATCTCGTGTAAGGCAACTTGAGAAGTAGAGCAACGGCCCGTAGAAGTCTGCAATTTCCAGGAAATCCGGTTTTACGATTAACTAAATACGCACGTCGCACCTGCGTCATTTGAGGCAGGGAATCTGGAGACACTAAGCAAGTAAAGTCCAATCGAGCTTGATACTTGGTCGAAACATTTGCACATAGCAAAGTTCTCTCTTTGTGGACTAATGTCAGGTAATATGACATCAATAGTGCTCACCGTCGATAATCAAAACGCTCTCGAACCGTTCTAGTAATATCTCACATGAAGCAAAATTAGAGAAAATTTCGGTAGAGGTATTTGTCAATCCTTAAAAGTAGTACAGTTTTACGATTACTGGCTCCCTCGATAGGGTACACACTCGTAACTTGGCTGACGGGGGCGCTGCGAGTAGGGGTGGACTGGCACAAATGACTCAGCTAATTTTTCATTGGTTTTCACACGCTGCCGGCCCTCCCGGCTAACAAGTGCTCGATTAAGCACCCACGCAAGCTAACGCACACACACAACCTGTGTGTACACGAAATCTGGCGTCGTGCCTGCCATCATCATCCGTCCTCTGGCACAGCGGATGGTAAATTGGCGCGGCTAAGCGAATAGAGTAGTGTAAACTCACATCCTTACTACTTCATGAAGTGATGGTAAAAATAGCTTGTTTTTGTTGTCACCAAAGGGCTAACGTAAATACTGATGTAAATAGGCAAGCAAGTAGGCAAGCAAACGTACAGGGGTGGTGAGAATAGGAGATGAACGTCTAGTCTTAAGTGGGAAACAAGTGCTTATTCTAGTGGTTAAATATCCACTGAATGTTTAAACAGCCTCCGCAAGGCCTTCGGGCAGTTTTATTTATATCTTTACCTCTCATTTATGAAAAACTGATCAAAGTGCCTAACTAAGTAATATTCTGATTTAGTAAGACACTGGTGATAGGCATTAGGCACGCTCACTTAGGATCTAGGAATGTTTGCGGCCAACTTCCCGTGCAACACTCTTTACGCCATTATTTGCACATTAGGGTTGCTTGAATTGGCTTCTCGCCTTTGTCTGTTGGTGTTTGGTCGATAGTGTCGCCAAGGTTTTTAAACCTTATCAACCATGCAAACACCGGCGTATTAGGAGTACAGAAAAAAATGCGGATTTTATTTAGCCTCTCCATTGGTTTTGTGCTTGTATTTTCGGCCGAGACAACGAATTTTGCAGCGTTACTCCATGTATACAGCATATTCTCAATTATTTGGCGTTTACTGCTGAGTAACGTATGTATTTTACCTTGTATAAACAATGGTAATGAGAAACTACAGGGATAGTTTTTTGCCGCAAAACGTGAACGGATGCAAAAAGTCAATGGAACAAAATCCAGAATCGTGAGACTATTTTAGGTTGCTTGGATGACTAAGAATTCTTCGTGGTCACCACATAGAATAGGAAGAAAGCTGAATCATTTCAAGATCAGCACTTTGTGTGTGTGCGTTTCTATGTAACATGCGTATTCATTTAGCACTGATATTCTGGGTTATATTTAGTTAGAAAATTACCTTTTAAGCTGTTAAGACACACAAGCCTGCTTCAAAAGTTGTTGTAGCAATTCACTATACCCCCAAATAGGTCGCGTTCACATTTAAGGACTCTCTGTCACACTTAAGCGACATGGGCGATGAGGTGAAACACAAAACTAACGTGTTTGAATGGGTCTGCAAGGGGGACGCTAAGCACGAAATCGCCACAAACGTCACACAGATGGACGACTAGACGAAGCGTGACACTTGCATGAAAGGGAGGCTACGATGTAGAACACAACAACAAAAGCTTTTGCCTAGAGAATGTATTCACACGTCAGGCCTGACCACAGCAAAAATTTCGAAAAAGAAAGTTGCTTACACTAGAGAAGTAGGAAGAGTGAAAAAGTTCTCAAGGCTCCTAAGAAGTACCCACTTAATTTAGCCAAGATTTGTCAGGGTTTCTGGACAGTAAAATTAAATTTCACAGATAAAATATTAAAAAAATGAAAAAAGATGAAAATCAGTCACGAATTAGACTGATACTTATTCTCTCAGTGCTGACATCTGAGAAAAATAACGAGGAGTAGAGTAAAATTACCCATAAGGTTTGAAATTTGAATTTGAAACAGTGAGTTTTTGTCAAACTAATGCCATTTTTGAGTTGACTTAACGGCTCTAGCAGTTCACACAGGGAGAATGCTTGTGGTGGCCTGAAATGAAAAACAGTTTGTTAACATGTTCGGAACTCGCATCACAACGCTCTGTTTGAATCGACTTAGTGTGGACTCTTGCATTTGGTTAAGTTAATTGCTTCTCGAGTAAAGTTTGAAATGTACCCATTCTAGCACAGACGGATACATTTGAAAACGGCGCATCAGCGGCTTTCGAATGCCGTTTCATGTAGTCTTCCAAAGCACAAAGGTAAATAGCACAAGACAAATGCGCATTGCGGTGAAATGCGCGAAAGTTTGAATATGCGCTATCGAATTTACACAATGCGAAAGTCCAAGTGAAAAAGTTGACGCAACACGGTGCCCTAATTTCAGCTCGCTAAGTTGAAACTCAAAAAAAGTGGCAAAATCTAGGCTGGAAAATGGGCGATTGTGGCCAATGCTTTATTGCTTCGGTGGTGGCTTTTTTCAAACATCAACACGTGTTTATGAGCTCAAAACGTGGTCAAATTAAAATTCTTCACATGGTTTGCTTCCATAAGGTTAAGTAAAAGCCTTATTCTTGACTCATAGAGCAAAACAATTCCTTTCTTCGAAACTGTTTTTCCTGAGGCCAAGAAAATTGATAAATTTCTAGTCCTCTAAAGGTTGAAGAGTCCTGATTAGGAAGGACACTCTGCCGCCTTTTTTCCATTGACTCTTTTTACTTCCATTTTACACAATTTTACTCATGTTTAGCAACTATTAATTTGCATTGAAACCACAGAAGGCGATCTGTTGACTCCCAACCGTCTGCCTCAAACCACCTTTCAACAAAACCTATTTGTCTGCGCTTAAAGTGGACGGCAAGTTACAGCGGCTTTGATGTCTTTTCTCGAAATTCACGCCGAACCCAAGATTCAAATAATTAGAGTTGATCCCTGCTTGGCATGTATCAACCTTGCTTACATGAATTTAAGTTAACTGGCAGATTGCTCTTTATAGACAAAACAGAAGAGTATGCATTTTCGGCTGAATGGAAAACGCAAGATTGAGGACACAACCGTTGATTAATCAGTCAGGTTACGTCAGTAAACGCATATGCGAACCGAGAGCATAGAATAGACAATATCAACCACTGGTGTTAGCAATGGGATTTGATTTGTTGCAATCGGAACGGCAGCCTGCACCAACATTCTCCTGCGTGAACTCACATTACATGTTACCTTGTGCTTACTAGAACGACCAGATCTTTGTTAATTTAAGAAGGATGGAAACTACTTTGCACAGAAACTACATATCGCCTGATGTCGGTTACTTGCATCAAAAACCGCATGCTAACTCGAGCGGAATAATAACAAAAACGCGTAAGTTCACCAGCTCATTGACGAAACTAGTGTACCCGCCAACAATTTTCAGAAAGAGCTGAAGGCTCAAGCTCAGCAGCCTGTCGCGTCGACCGTACGGCTCATCGTCAAGCGGTTGAAATCACCAATTTAGGTTGGAACACGGTGAGACCATACTTCAGGTCCACGTTAAGGGACTTATGAACAGACGACCCGTCATTACAGCCCATGTCAGCTAACTAGCCCTATTAATGCAGTTTACTTCGCCCAGTCAAAACAAACAAGATAAAGTCGAATTCTTGCAGTTTATTAAAATCACAATCACATCGAGTAAGTTTATGCAAACATCTACACGGACAATTTCTTCAAGTACTTGCAGAGGGATTTGCCGTCACGGGCCCAGCAAGCGGCATTGATCCGCACAGATTCCAGAGCCTGCTGAGTTGCCCGTTGACAGGGTAAATTTTCGCCATCAAAGAAAGCCTTCCAAAACAAATAAAAGTGCACCATGGAGCTATTTATTTACACAATAATGGCAGTGAAAATTCTAATGGCCTACGCTTCGACACCAGGGGATTCAGTAGGGGTTACTGGAGAACGTTGCGATCCCTCGCTAACATATACCGAACACATGCCTCCTGAGCGTCACTTGTCGAAAAGCAGAAACGAACGATATATTTCACAAAAAAACTAAATAATTCAGTGTCAAATACTTATAATGTTTTGTATAATACTGGACTACAGTTTTTGGCCCTAGTGTCGGAGGGATTACAGGATATTGCTCAAGAACAATATACCAGTCTGTGATTGACAAGGATTGGAAAAGTAACCTACCTTCACTTCCTGATGGCGTTTTTCAGAGCAGAAGTCTGAACAGCTGGCCTAGAATGCAATATAAACGTAAAAATAAAGTGGATTGACATTAAAACAACTATTCGAGAAGACTGAATCCTACTGCTTTTGACAAAATGTTGTCACACTCAAGAATACACGTCAAGTTCATGAATTCACGGTCACTTGTAGCCCATTGACAAGGATATTCCTTATGGTTTAAGATTGACGCACAGCTACACCGACAAAAGAGATTCACACACCTTGATTACGTGAGATAATAGGGAGGTCGTTGCGAGGTCATCAGCCAGCGTCGCAATTCGACGCTGCACCAGGCGCCACAAGGCACGGCGTCCACCGGGGGACCAAGTTACCCCCAAGAGCACGTGGTACCTGTCCTGTTTGCGCACGTAATCGGAGAAGGTGAGGGCGAAGAGGCGATCAATGAGTTCTGCTTTTGTTACTGACCCCAGACTGGACAAAATGCGAACACGCTCATCCTGCATTGTCGCCAAGTCATGGAGCTAGTGAGGAAGGAAATCAGGGGCTAATAAAAGTTGGAACAAGACGATTGACCAAGTAGAAAGGGAATTGTCAAACGAAGCTACAGGGAATCCAAGGCTGCATTCAAAGAAACACAATAAGTGGGAAATTCGAATACTGATAATAATAATAATAATAATAATATCACTATGTCATCGTCAACGATAGTGCACGCACCAATAAACAAGCATGAGAACATAATAGGTGATCCAATGAGAGGTTGAGCTTTGGCGGTGCCTAGCCAAAAACCCCAGTGAAAACCAATTAACACCAAACACAAGTATGCAGGTAGTTAGGATCTGGCAGCATTTACCTCCACGTGCTTCCAACGTCATGACTTGAACACGTGCGCGATAAAACACATTTAAAGCACACAACGCCCACACAGCGCACAATCGTTTGTGTGATAGCACTATGACTTAAATCAATTCTATTAGCTATTAATAGGCACAGTGCGGCTAAGCCAAGCACAACCCCACACTGTAGACAGAAATTTAGAAAAAGCGAAAAAAAGGCTTTCGATGACATTTCACTACTGAAACGAATGTCTGTAATGCGCGAAAATGGAGGCGGTCGGAGAAAGAGGAGGTGCAGCGATCTTGGACTGTTGTATAAGGAGCCGTGGGAAAACATCCCACGAAAATCTCCAGCCACATATCATGGAAAAATTCACCGTTGACACACATTCACAGACGGAAAGAGAAGTAAGTGATTAGGGAACAGTCATTAACGTGAATGAAGCTGAGCTGGGGTCCCACACTAAACGACTCACCCCCCCCCCATTCAAGCGGTGACTATGCATGCTCATCTGGGTGTAATTAGCACAGTTTCAATCAAATCAGCTCAAGTTAATTTCAACCACAAAAACTGTAAAACGACTTTTCGAAAAAAAATCAGTTTTTAACGACATGTTCAACCCAGATGACATCAAAATAACATCAATTATGGTAATGACTTCACGGAACACTGACAAGAACGTGGGAAAATGACAGTAAGCTGATGAGTAATATTATGCACACTTAGTAATGACGGACCCGGCTTTGTTCTAATCAAGACTAGTGGAGGAAAATCCCCCGTGACTTGATAGAAGCGAAATTACACACATATATTCGGTGTGTTTGGGCAAAGAACTCACTTTAAGTAGCCTCTGGAACTCCTCGTCCCCACCATTTCTTAGGCAAATAGTGTAGATGGCTGTTCGCAAGTCGGGAGAAATTAGCTTTCCCTGTTCAGGTGCCTGCCCCGCCGGCGCCGTGGTCACTGCTTCGTAATGACGGTTAAAGGCGGCGCGAGCCTTATTTATGACGTCGCAATTACCGATACGGCCTAGGATCGACAGTATAATTGGTCGCAAGAGCCGATTGTTGTTTGATTCTTCATCCACGGGCTCAAATCCTGTACAGGAAGACACAACAGATAAGAATAACACTTGCGTTCTGTACACATAGTGTTGTTGATTCACTAACATTATTACATAGGAAGCGTTTCGAGTAAAATCCCCCCAGCTGCCTTCATTTAAATATCAACATCGAGTATTTCAACTAAACGAGGTTCATGATTGTAGTTTAGAAGTTATTTTTTGGGGAAATGATTAAGACAATAGAAACCTCCGCTTATGAGAGATAGAAACCGACAATAAAAACCTATCCTGAGAACTAAACACTTCAGCTCGCTTATTCCGATTACGACTGCAATCAAGAGTGACGACGTGATTAGAAATTCAAACCCACCGATTTTATCGTAGACTGGAAGTGCGAGCTGACAGTAGAGGGCGTTGAGTCCGTAGAATTCGCTGGAGGGCTCAGGGAAGACGACTTCATCTCCAGCGGGGTAGGTGGCTTCCTCCAAAAGGGTGCGCACCTGCAGAAGGCCCTGCGAGAGGATCGTCCAGACGCTGTGCTTTGGTTCTCCCGCAAAGGCACGGCAGAATTCAAGAGCCTTATGCAGACTATAGAAGCCTGCTCGAGACTAGTAGAAAGGATATTGCTTTTAATGCATTTGAAATCAACACAACTCCCGAAACGCGGCACGATATCCTGAAAGTGGTGTGGGGCTGGTTGTAGTGAAAGCCTATCACCACATTGTACTTGTGATAAAACCATGGCAAACCTTTGGACTCCGGCACTTGTTACGTGAGCTGGGACCGATTAAACACGCCACAATTTTAAATGATATCAGAACAATTGGTCTACAATTAGGCCATACTGTGTTAACAATGCCATAACCGTCTACATCCACGTCTACGTGTTACCAATCAAATTGAGTGGCTCCGAGTGCACCACTTCCTCTCTGACCACCTCATGTGAAGCAACAGACAGCTTCTACCTCAGACGGAATTAAAATGACCCAGACAAAAGTCAAGTGGATTAAGATGACATCGATGTTACAAGGAAGCAACGCTTGAACGTTTGTGCATTTCCAAACAAATTTCGAATAACCCTCTAACCTGGTACCTTGGGATCTTGTGCATTTTTGCACAAGAGCTTTGTTTAGCTTAGGATACAAGTCTCCGAAGAGTAACAAAGACCCACTGAAAATAAAACCATGATTTCAAAGTCGGAAACATATTTCGAGATAAACAAGGATGTATACTTGGCACTTTTTACTTTGAAAAAGTAACTATTGCGAATCGTGTTTATGCACACCCCTAAATCCGATCGCTCCACCTCCGACACAGGGTCCCCTTTTTCGCAGCGTGTCATAATCAGCGCGGATCCTCAACTCCCCCCTCGCCAGCACGAACATTTATCCTGGATTACCCTCACACATAGGTCTCGATGTTAGCGCATGTATGACTCACACATCCGAGCTATAAATACACACTCAAACTCCACACACGACACGACACCAACGTGCTTGAGGTCTGAAGTAAACGGTTGTGTCCACGTCCTCTCCGCTCTTTTTCTTCATCGCGGGCCGGGCTTAATTCCGTGGCCCCGGCGTGGTGCAAGATCACATGCTGGGGCCAACAACATTACTTTAAAAAGGATGTCTGGAGCACAGCGGTCATACTTTTACAAGTAAACCGGTAGGAAATATGGTTCCTATTTCTGCGGTATTAAAATAACCAATGGCAAATTCAGGAAATCGGTCTTTAAAACCGAAGGGACAGAGTAGATAAAGCAGCAGAAATTTTGTTCATTAAATAAGTGTTACGCCTTTATACTTACCAGAGCGAACTGATCATCAATGAGACTAAGGCGGTCGCACTCGGGCACTTGCTGATTACGGATGGCATCCAGGATGTTGGCATTTATGGTGTCGTCGTAGTGAACGCGATAAAAGCCGACAGCACCGGGATTAATACGCACTTTGCCATCGGTTAGGTGTGAAGGATGATAGATGTACTCGGACTTGTGATCCTCGGGGTGTGGCGATAGTGCAGGCATGATGGTACTGGCAACGATGGCCTTTGAGTTATCGACACGACAGATTTTAACAGGTATATGCCATGTTGACATCTTATCTAGACAAAAAAATTTGCAAAATAAATTTGGAACCAGAGTGTCCTGCAGTCTAAGTGAACTAAACTGGTAAGTCCGTCTTGTCAAAATAGTAATTTCAGCAATTTGTATACGGAAAATGATTCAAGTGCTACTCCCGCGACTCCGATACTACACAAGATGCATTTTATCAGTTCTATTTATCAAAGTACACAAGGATTCACCGCATGGCATTGTAAATTTCCTAGAAGTACAGCCAAGAAACGTGCGTTGTGACTTGGCTCCACTGTTAAGTCACTTTAAATACACGCAGAATAGTTCTGACAATTGTCTTGAAGGACGCGTGTATAAATTAACCGAATGGTCATCCCCAGGGCTCACTACAAGGTCAGATAAAATTCCCAAGAACGTCGATGAGAGTTTAGCTACCTGGGTAAGACAAATGAACGCAAGAGGCAACAATCAAAGGTCAGCTCGAAAACCCATCAACAATTCACCCACGAGGTTGTCAGCACTGGAGCGCACTTCACTGTACCTATCAAAAATAATGGTGACTTTAAAAATGAGCGAAATCAGAACCCGCGAATAAACAGAACTTTGAGGAGCTAACTAGGTATTCAATCGATGGAAATCCTGGGCAAGCAAGGGAAAGACAACGTTCGCAACTACATTTTGAACCTCATACTACCTAAAATAATTGTGATTCGGATTCCTTTCCACACCGCTGCCTTACTACTCGAATAAATAATCAGTAATTTGTTTAAATGACGATAAACTGAGATTTTGATGAAAAAAAAACTTTAAAGTGCCCGTCAGCAAATATAGTTGAGAGCGGACAATCCCGCGACAAATGTTGTGAGCGTCGAATGTTAATTAAAATTAATTAATATTAACCTTCATCAAAAAAAGAAATTGACCTTTTCAATGGTAAGGTCAATAGAAATTACGTTTAAAACCTATAAATTAGCCTCAGAAGTAACAAAATGCAATGAGAGCAAGAGGCGAACCTTCGGAACTGCCATCAGAAAGAAATCTGCGCTGTTTAAAGCCCAAGCTGTAGGTTCCATCTGGCTCGGGAACTAAGCGCACGGAAACAACGGGGTAACCAGTCTGGATGGTCCACGGAGACATAATATCTTCCACGGAGTCTAGATAAATCTGTGACAGCGAGTTCCACAAGTCCGAGGTCTCCGCGTTGGAGTACATGAATTTCTTAATATAGGCTTTAAGTCCAGTTTGAAATGTCTAGAAGGGAAAAATGGCAACTGTATGGCCTAACTAGGAATTATCTTTGCACTAGAAGATACAAAGCCAGTTGATATTTATGTGCGATTTACGCATCGTAATTAGATACTTACCTCAGTGCCCAAGAAGTCGTCCACCATGCGTATTATACAGCTGCCCTTTTGGTAAGACACTGCGTCGAAGATTTCCTCAACTTCATGAGGGCTGTTTACTTCAACCTACAGGATAAAAAGCTTTGAATTTACATATTTGCTGATGGGTCAACAAAAGTTGTTTGCATGCTGCCACGCGAGGTTTATCCTAACCGGAATACAACGGATAATCAAGAAACTCCACACCACAACTCCACGTCCCACTAAACAACCCCGATCGATACCGGTCAACCGGAGGGGACGGTTTGAGTGATGTTAGAAAGGGAGATAGATTTTGTACCACTAGTGTTTTCATGGTGGTGAGCATATGATCTGGATTCAGCTGCGGTGGTCAGAGAGATCAAACCATTTGTCTTGCCACGAATGCTTGCCCCTAAAAGAAACAACCCGCGGACGTGGAAATCCAATCACCGCTCTAATAACTGTTTGCTAGATGATTACAAATTACGGGCAAGATATTTCCGTGGCATAGTTAATATGATACCTAATCTATACCCACAATAAAACAGTGTTTGTGCTACTGCGTACAGTGGTTGGCATGCATAAAAAGCAAGACATACCTCGACGGGGTGGCTGTTTTTAAGTCCATCCAAACGAAGAGCTTTCGTGTATTCCCGGGATATAAAAAGATTCTAATAAACAGAGGTGAGCTAACATCAAGGCGACAAGAGGAGACATGGGTTTAGAACTTGCTTACCCATATATCGTAATCAGGAAAACAATGGTCGACAGCAAGATACTCAATGAAGGTTGCGAAGCCTTCGTTGAGCCAAAGATGGTTCCACCACTGCATTGTAACGAGATTTCCAAACCACATATGAGCAATCTCGTGGGCCACGGTTAGGGCTACGGATTGTTTTGACAGTAGAGATGAGTTTTTGGGGTCAATAAGAAGAGCAGTCTCTCTAAAAACACGAAAACAGAATTCTGACTCGACAGTAGATCGCCGAAACAAGCCATGGAACCTCATATCAAGCAGACAAGGAACAGCTTGGGTGTCTCACCCAGGAAAAGATAAGTCGGCAATTTCCTTGACTTATGTTCAACCAACACCTAATCGCCTGGGAAAACAAAAACCGTGCACCACTCTGAGTCCTTTCTATAAACCGCGACAACAAACGAGCAAGTCACGACGTGAGACATGAGCTCTTGACACCCATTACCAACACTGGTGTCGCTTTGACGCAACTGAACCATGGTCCAATTTAATTTCCCAAGTTTTGCAAAAGAGGACGACCTTCTATAGTTCGTCCAAAATCAAAACACCTTAGTTGTCGCTTACGAGATTTTCTATCCTTCTGTCAGCCAAAATGGTGCTTGTGTAACTAGTTGTTGGCCTCTTGGCACCGTTGTACGTTCAGTACCAATTACCACGTTATTCTTGTCTTCACTTTGCTCTACTGTTCTCACACGTTTGCTACAGTAACATTTGCACGCATTTACTACATCCCGAGCAGCCCTTGCTATTCTAAATTAATCCGTTCGGATATGTTTCGAGGAACCAAAGGTAAACAAACATGTGGTTTTGTACATACGACACAAATGATTTTATATTGAATTCCTATTCCGATCGATAGAGCCCAAAAATAGGCACATATATGAGGCTATGCCTTATCACTTAATAAAAGTACCAATATCGTGAAGGGTCTTTTCCCCCACTTAGTGGCAGCGAAAGAGGGAGCGTACTTAGGTCACTAAATATTTCATATTTAGATACCTCAATGAATGCACATGACACACCGTCATCGAGAGTACCCGATACCCGCCAGTTTTGTTGGCCAAAACAGATGGAAACGGGGTTAACAAATACGACTAATGTCGGTGCACGGCAGCACAAATGGGGATTTCGGTATTTAATCAGAACATCAGCGCTTTTATTAATTCGGCTATGCAAACGTCTGACATTAGGACTGTTATTTTGGCTAAACCACCGACGTAAGCTACTATTAGTGATTTCGACTAATTATTTACCTGTATGTTATCAAACCCCAATTTTCCATGGCGCCGGCAGCGAAATCTGGAATGGCGATCAGATCAAGTTTGGGAAGCGGGTAGTTGCAATCGAAGAGTTTGGTGTAAAAGGGTAGGGATTTGGTGGCCACTTCAAGAGCGTACTCCCCAAATGCTTTTTTTCCTGGAGGGGTGTACACGCGCACCTCAACACCGTTTTCAACATTCGAAGAAACGTACTCAAAGTCGCCCACAACCATTGCAACGAGGTAGGTGGACATGATAGGCGACTTGTCGAAACGTATTTTCACGTAGTTGTGACCATCGGGCGGGTCTGGGCAACCTGCCGGAGTTGGCACCACAGTGCGTGAAACCTCGGGCTGTACATCACAAAAAGCACTCGAGATTAGATCAATATCAACTTAACACTCTTGGCCCTAACTATTAGGGACGCCAGGACAAAATATACTTAAATAGTGAGCAGAACTGGCTAATAATGTACGAGGAACCTGTTTCCATCCCGTAAAAAGTGGTATAGTAAATAAAACTACGTGTATTGAAACCCTTTCACTATAGTGACAATTATAATAGTAATACGTTACGACCCAACAATCTCATTGTAAGTAAACTTAGCAAAGGTCACCGAAATCAAGCTAATAGCCCTTCACGAACTCACCATGTTCGATAAGGCCACCTGATTGTCCAGAGCAACAAGACTGATGCCGAACGTCGCCTTAAGGCCCGGTTCATCCATACAGGGAAATGCACGGCGAGCATAAACCGACTAAAGAGAAAAAAATTGATGTCAGCCATCTAATTTGGACGAACACAAACCCCTTGCTTGATTTGATAAAAAAAGGCTAGAAAATAAATGAACAGGATTAAGGACTTAATCGAACACCAGGGGTTGAATCACTAAGAACTACAATGGAGAGTCAAAATGGAGCATAAATATAAGGATTCACATTAAATAAAATAGTTGCGACTCCAGTCAACTCCATGAGTACAATATGAATTTATGGTACTGCATTGACGGCAACAATAATAACGTGTTTTCACAAGATTTGGATAAACAACCAAATAATTACCTGGAACTGTGTGGCCAAAATGTTATTTTCTTTTCCACTACTATCCTTGTAAACACTACGGTAGATGCCCTGCATGTCGTCCGCCAACACACCTTTGAATTTCATGTCCAGTTTTGCTTCGCCAGTCTGGGCAGAAACTCAATACGAAAAACAAACCTACGGTCAATCCTTTTGGAAACATAAACGTAACGGTCTCCTGGTCGTCGTCATACGTGATAGCGCCTTCTGCTAAAGTGGTTGACATAAATATGGGTCACAACTTACAATCACAATAATAGACAGATGATATATCAAGTGCTTTTGAGTTGAACACGACCTTGTTGGTTGGTTCAACAACCTAAAACAGAATAAAGCAAAAGATTTAATTTCTAAGACATAACTTTGCGTGCCTCATTATCCATCAAACTTAACCAAACTCCAATAACAGAAATTCAAGTGACAAAATTACAACTATAATCTGTCAGTATCGAACTGTTTTGAATACCAGAAGTGAAGTTAGCGCATGAGTAAATAGAAAATGTATACATTAGATATTTACTTGCAAAGTGATCAAGAGGGTAATCGTTTGTGCAACCCTACCTCAAGAAGAACAGAAGCCTGACCGGTAAAAGACAAATCTGAAAGGTTGGGCACGAAATCAAGTTCGTAATTGATCGGTTTTACCGAGGTTGGCAGCCGGACAAAGTTAGTATGGCTTTCAACCATTTTCACGACCAAAGGAAATGAAGGCCTAAACGCAAAAACAGGCTGATTGTGGTAAGCAAATGTCACAGAGCGGACCAATTTTCGAAACATTTAAACAACCCATCTTAAATGGACTTTTATCAGTCATATCTATGTAGATATCAGTACACACAGAAAATATAAAGAACTGCGAAACAATTATGACAAAATGTTGATTAATTTAGATTAGCCATTTATTTGTTATTTAACTTATGAATACCACATGCAGATTGTTGAATAAATTTACTCGGTGACATGTTGTTCAATATTACTACTTTTGTCTCCAGAATGTAGCAAAATCATTGTGAAAAAACTCATTTTGCTTGCCTTTGATTTATAAGTTGCATTACGGTGTTCGAGAGAACTTGTCTTCTGTCATTATGCAGATTTCACGCAGATGTTAATGACTAGCATCGACTTCGTGTTAAATCAATTTTCCACTATATATTGCAATATTTTACCAGGTCAGTGTTAAATCAACGACTTAGACTGATTAAGTCAGCCATCGGTTCATCCACTGGCCAAAATGTATCTAAAGGTAAATTTAAATAACTCAGATTAAGGAACAAATACCTAGATTTTTAGTCAAGGTCAAGCAGCCCCACTTTTAGTAACCAGTACCCGATTGAATGCGCCTTTGAACCACCTGAGTTTTCCTTGCTCACAGGGCTTGGTCGGTGTCATGAGCATGCGTTCTGCTTTGTTCCAAATATCTGTGATTCGTCTATCATACATTAAGAACATTTCGCCATTAGCTTAACTACATGTTCAATCACGTACATTTGAAAGATTGTCTAAGTCAAAATATCTAGGAAACCGTGTTCATATTTGTTTTCGAAAATATTTGTTTTACTTTTTCAACTTATTTCAAGCATCGCCTGTTGCCCACCATTAATATACAGACCACGGATAATCCGGATACGCATTGCTTTTGAATTGATGACTTGCATCTAATAGTTGATGTAAGTTAATATTATTAGATTACAACAAATTCTAACTGTAAAGTATAAAGTTGTGACAAGTAAATAGTATGGTCATTGAGGCAAAGTAGCTAGGAAAAATGGCAAAATGATAAACCATGTTAAATAAACATAAATCATGAATTCATAAAGTCAACTATTTTGAAGAATTTTGAGACCCCAACACAATATTATCACGATTTCTCCAGGACCTGACAAGCATCGCTACGAAGCCTTCATCCTGCAACATCAATTCGTAATTAACTCACCCAATGCGACCTATGGGCACAAGTCGCATACATTTAATTGCAACGAATAATAATAATAATGTGCAACATAGTCATTTGCAGGAGCCTTGTAATTAAGAAGGGAATAAAAAAAGACAGTCGAACGTTTAAAAACATATTTCTAAAATCTGCTTTGTCCACTTTAACCAGCATTCACCATGATTAATACTCGTTCTCTGAAAACATTTAAACTGCCATCAGAAGGAATTAGGATTTAAAAATGGAACAATCAAGCCTAACACGCAAATAATCTGCATATTTTCCTATTACTGTTGCCAACGTCAGGCGAAAAAATACTTTGAGCCGCTTTCCTTTGAAACCTTGGTCTTTAAGTTAACGCTACACATCCACTTACACGGCTGTGAGACAATTTCCTCGCGCTCTGAAAGCATGTGAGTTAGTCTGTTATGATTATTATATACGTTTATATTTAATTTTTCTGGCACCATCTAAGCAGGAATCCCTACGTAAATGCAGATATTTTGACCGATTTAATAATGACTAACAAAATATCCCGACTAGAAGACTATGGACAGAAGTTGTGAACCATTTTCAGTTACAATAATTATTTATGAATACATAGCACTAGTGCCGACGCTCTTTTCAGAAACGCAAGAGCTTCGTCAAGATTCAAGTCAAAATCTGGAAGAGCTAATGGTATCCAAAGCAGAAATCATCATAATTAATTGAACACAAATTTGATCCACCTAGGCCCAAGTAAAACATTTAACATCGCATCAGATTTAAATTTCAGGTCGAGATTAAATTATAACTGCTATTTAAAACTAATTAGTTTGAGTAAAGCGTTTCAAATTAACAAAAATTATAGCGAAGAATCGAGAACATGTAATCGTATACCCACAGAACAAATCCCTGTCTAAGAGTGTAAAATTTGTGTTTTGAATGCTTTTAGATTCATTTATTAATGCATGTTATATAAGTTTGGTTAGTTCATATTGATGTGAAATTTGATTTTGTTTACATAATTACAGAGCTCGTTCAGCGTCGGCGAATTTTCAACATTGTTGGGATGAGTCTTAATCTCCAGATGATTCGTACAGCCAATAAGGCGAGAGAAGCGGTAGCTTTTAGTTTCTTCTTAGCTTTTAGGACATCTGCCGTTCACAATGTCGTAAGAAAAATTTGCTTTTGCTGATAATGAACTACTTGACTGAAGAGGGGTTTGTTCATGATTACAAACAACTTTTTGGCAATAGATTTGTAAATACAGCTGAAGTTCTTAAAGGCGAAACAAATTTGGATTTTGATGCTTTTGTAATCTGCGATAATATTGACCTTGATACTGTTCTGATGGAATTTGAGAGCTACCACTACGTTAAATTTAATAAATACCCTAAAATATCAAAGAAAAAGGATGGTAATTGTTAACCTATGCATCATAAAACTGTTAGCCACAGATAACACCTTGGACAATGGGGAAAGGAAACGAAAGTAAATCATATTTCTTCTAATAATAAAGAAAACATTTCCTTCCAAGCATCAGTTTGAATTCTTCACATAGTATGGACTATTCATTGCGTTCCACCTCTTCTAAGCAAAAATCTATAATGAAACAATTGCCAGAAAACAGTTCCTTGCAACCAGTGCCTCAAGTTCGTCAGGCCAAATCACCACACCTGATAGCTGAAGGCCGATTCATAAGTGGAGATGGCAACTCAGGTAACCTTGGTCAACGCTGTCAAAGTGATGTTCTCGTTGAATTTCCAAGGAATGTAATCCAAGAGAAGGGCTTGGATACTGATGGAACCCTATTTCAGGTAAGCCTCCTGAGGTGGTTTGACAAAATGTTCGACCGGAGTTTTATACCATACCTGGAGTCGTGCCAGTGATGAGCATGTTTTCGTGTTTTTTTTTTCATAAAATTGTGGTCTAATTTTAACTTCCACATTATATTTCATATGTGATTTTCCTTCTTTAGTTAGCAAAGGCTCCCGAATGTCATGAGGCATTCTCGTCTTCTTTTATTAAAGCCGATATAAATGGCAATTTCTTGCTCATTTCTGCAGCTTAAAACTATAAGTTGAAACTTAGTTTGTGTCTACGGCTCTGTGCAGTCAGGTATTGTCCAAATGACTAAAGAAGCACTCGCTGTTAAATCCCTTAAAAAGGCTTATATTTGCAAAGCTGATATATCATTACAAATATGTGTGCAGCGGTTTCGTTAGCGCTACATTGCAACCCTGTAAGTCGGCATTCCGTAACAGCCGGAGAGGAAAGGCGAAATCGATGATAGCAAATATAACGATTTATACACATTTGACCACTCAAGTCTTGTGTAGTCCACTGCGTGAATGCATATTGAACGTCAGGTGTAATTGACAATTGATGACATTCAATCAACTCGTGAATAAGCTTCACTAACGTTCGTTTAGTAAAAGTTCACTTCATCGTTTAAAATCCAAATTCTGTAAGAGCCTTGTATTTCAAGGCTGCACTGGGAATGCCATGAGCGGGTTTATATAATGTGTTTGCTCGTAGACACCAAGTGCTATGTCTCCCGGTACTATGCTTTCTGTTCATACTTAAATTAAACTCAAATAATCATTTCTTTATAGAATTTGCTCTTAAATTGGGAGTACTGGTGACTTAATAAACTTTAAGTCTTCTTTTCCCCTTTTACAATGACATTACTTCATAACGTGTGGTATAATTGGTTTGTTTTCATTTATCTTGTAGGAAAGGATACTCAAACCACTTGGAGCTTATGCCGGCTATTCAGCAGAATGGCGGGAACTGGCTCAGACAATTTCAAGAGTATGCATTATGCAATGTCCATATTCTAAAGTTAATTTCTTATGTCTTTTGTTTCTCGTTCACAACTACTGAATTCTTAAGATTACCTGTTTTCTAGGACATATTCCTTCAAAACCCCAACGTTCGTTGGGAGGATATTGTGGGTCTGGATACTGCTAAGCGTCTTGTGAAGGAAGCCGTTGTGTACCCGATTTCGGTAAGCTGTATTTTTGTAGAATCGACTTCATTTGTGGGCACTCAAACATTTAAAGTCAATTAGGCAGTTAAAATATATTGATTTTAGTACATATTCGATTTTTTTATTTACCGATCCGGAACGCCCCAGATTTTTCTATTTAACACATGCCAAAATGGTATGAATTTGAACACATAGTAATAGTCTCATAAACGATTTATTGTAATGCACGAGTAGCTAAGTTTAGGGTTAAGTACAAACTTTAGTGCTGGTTTGGGTTACAACTAGCAGTTTAAGCCCCTTTTTAAATTTCGAAATACTACTTTAATTGGGGTCTACAACAAAGTAAACTAACCCTATCCTGTATGACACTTTTTAGTGCCCATGTTTATTTGCACTTGAATGAATGTCATTTTGTAATACGGCAGTAAGGCGGATTCTTATTTAATACATGTTGATTAAAGTAGTACTATAATTGGTGCCTCACCATATTCTCAGGTGACTAGATTAAACACTTTCACCTGATTTTATGAGGAGCCTTTGACGCTCAGAAACAGTTCCTTTATGAGACACAATTGTGCCCGTATCGTTACAATTAGAAATGCCACCTAAACCAATTACCACTTCCAAAATTATCTAAATAGTCTTTTAGGATGGGTAGCAGTACCATACTTCTAACTAAACATTTTCTAAATACACATGTAAAAATGAAGAGGAGGATTTTGTGAAGTCTAATGTGTTGTAGTACCCAGAACTCTTCTCCGGAATCCTTTCTCCTTGGAAGGGTCTTCTTCTCTACGGACCACCTGGTTCGTAAGTAGTTTGTCGTTGGTACTGTAGCCTATGGTAAGAATTAATACACAAGACAATAGGGAATGTACATGAGACAGAGATTGGCGTCTTCTCGCACTCCTCATTCGGCAGCTATAGTGTCAGTACGTGAGTTGTCTCAGTTACTTTTGATGCGCCAGGAAGACTTTCTTAGAGGTATGGTCAGAACTTTCAAATACTTTTAGGAGGGTATTGGCAAGATCAAGGCAGTAGCAACACATTATGCGTTTTTCATAGGCTTCTGGAATCTCTTTACTGAAGGTTCGACTATTCCAGTATGCATCAAGCTAGCCACGAGCATTAAAAGCAAATGTTTAGTGGACCAACGTTTTTGACCTTAGTGATTTATAGTAACAGTGTGGGCAGGGATTGCCTTTAAATCCCAAAGTGGGGTCTGTTAAACGCGAGTGGTTTTAGCTGAAGTCCTTGTCATCTCTCGTTTTCCTGGTTCAACAATGGTGTCACGTGGACCTTATCTAAAACATTTCCTGCACTTATTCCACGTTTAGGAACAGGAAAAACGTTGTTGGCGAAGGCAGTCGCTACCGAGTGTAAAACAACATTTTTTAACATCTCGGCTTCTTCAATTGTCAGCAAGTGGCGAGGGGACTCGGAGAAACTCGTTCGAGTACGTTGCTGATTAGACACTTCACAATGCCTCTTCTTAGTGTTCACACTTGTGAGACTCGTTTTTTCACATTAGCACACTTTTAAACAATAACAATGGAAAAAAAAGTTATACGAGAATACTTTCGGGTTACATATTATTAGGTCCTCTTTGAACTGGCTAGATTCCATGCTCCATCTACTATATTTTTGGATGAATTGGACTCTCTCATGTCCCAAAGGGGCTCTGATTGTGGCGGCACAGTCGGCCAGGGTGAACACGAGGGCTCTAGGCGAATGAAAACTGAGCTCCTTATTCAAATGGATGGGCTGGCCAAATCCAACGACCTGGTCTTCCTGCTTGCTGCATCTAATATCCCATGGTAGGACTCTTAAGCATATTCATACTCATACTTTTTTAAAATAAATGTAATAAATCGTGCTTTACTTTAAGGGAGCTTGATCACGCAATGCTGAGGCGCTTAGAAAAACGAATATTGGTGGATTTGCCGAATTCCGATGCCAGGAAAAGAATGTTCGAAAACCTTTTGCCGCCCAGACAAAAGAGGTCCAATTCTGGGTCTCTAGAGTTAACGACAAATATAGACTATGCGCACATGGCCGAAGTAAATGCTTGCTTATTTACGCCTATTTGCCCAATTAGTTGACAGCGGGATATTCCGGATCGGACATTAGATTAGTTTGTAAGGAAGCGGCTATGAGCGTGGTCAGGAGAGTATTCCCTCTGTTAGAGGACACGAGGAACACTGAAGGTAATTTTGTTCTACGTCCGTATTTGTAAGCTCGATTAGCAGTTTTTTTTGAAAATGAGTACGGCATTGACCTGCCTTTAAAGCAGGTTGCTCTGAAATGGGTCTGAAATAGGATGGCTTGCTGGTGATTCAGGAAGCTATAGTCATGTAAGGCAAATTTAGTTAATGGCGACTTTTGCATTTCTTCACACTTAAACCAGCTGCATCTCAATGACTTACGGCATAAACGAAAATTCAGCCAGTAAGGTTTTGTTTGAAATTCAAATTGCAATCACCACCAATCAGGCTTATCAAAAATGATGCAACACTGTGTTAAACTTTATGCTAGCCGCTATAAAAAAAACGGCAATTGACAGTTTTAGCGTCTCATATTTTTCCACGAAAAAAAATAAACTCATCTTTCACAATTCTTTGGTATCGGTGAGGAGTAATTTCTAGTGGTCTGTATATCCATCTCCCATTAAGGTGCCTTAGTGCAGACATCAAATGCTAGTAAATTAAAACACCATCTGGTCAAATTAATGTCTTTTGATAAAGCGGCCGGTCTAATGTATTACGCCTATTGCTACTTCTTATTTTGCTGAGCTGACACGAGGTTACAGCGAGTTGAACACAAATCAAGGCTTCGTTGCCTGCATTGTGGTTCATACCGTTACTGTTTACGATTCCATTTTAAGTGATGAGCAAACCGATGTTCTAAAGTATCTACTAGCTTTGTCGTTGTGCTAACATTGCTACTTTTTATGAGATCAGTATGCAGACTTGTAGCGTTCTGCCTAAATAAGACATCGTCGGTGCTTTCAAATGTAGCTTTTCACCTGTACAGAGGAATGGAGACTTATTTCTAGAACAGGAGGGAATTTTGTGCAAGAATGGAAGCCCATTTGGTCCTGTAGGGCTTTTCATCGTGTGACGCACAATTAGCTTCAAAACTGTGAACACTTCACATAAAACCTCTTTCTTATTTTTTTGTGTACGCAGTCGATAGTAGTATGAATGCTTATTCGCTTAGAGCAGTCTCCAGTTAAATCTATGAAATGTTACTTAACTTGACAACAATTTGATCCATCGGAATATGCAATAGGTTAAAGGCTAGATTCAAGGAAATTACTTGCGTGTGTGTTAACTTAAAATTAGGTTCTAAAAATGAAAACATGGCATTATGTTTACATCACAATGAAATGCGTGTTTTGATATTAGTTGATTCATGCTTAATGAGATAATTTTCACTTCTGAATTCTAGTGTTTGTTTTATTTTGTCACAGCACCGAAATGCATGGATCTACGCTTGGAATCAGTCACGTCGGCTGATGTCGAAGCGGCTATTCGCACGACAAGACCCTCTGGCCGTGGCTTTGCAAAAAAATACCACGAATGGCAGGAAAATTACGGGTCCGTGTAAAGTGTCTCTGACTTGGAAAAGAGCTCAAACCAATTTTTTTTCATTTTACAATGGACTCGTCTAGTTGAAATAAATTTAAGCAGAACTATTTGATATTTTGAGTGATTCCAACTTTTTTGTGTCAATGGGGGCAATTAAGGGGCCGATTCTGCGTTATTTTGCACGCGTTTATTTTTTGTTAATTCACTAACTTGCCCTTATATCTAGGGAGCTGGAAGTAGTGCTTACACTCTGATTCGAAACTGGAGAGAACGGGCACCTCTTCTTGAACTCCTACTAAGAAGCCCAATTCGGGCGACATAACACTGCTCTCACTTGAAGTCACTTGTGAAACCTCTAACTTAATGAAAGGGAGTCTAAATAGTAGTTTAGAGCTTCACGATTAAAGCATCGGTCAGTATTAAAAGGTATGAGTCGCGGCTACATAAAGGGACATTTTCGAAATGAACCTATAAGCCACTGCTTGAACTTGTCTCACTTTCCAGATAGTTGACGATGCCTCATCATCTAAATGCCCTTATTTTAATCCGCCGACTATGTGTGTCTACAGTGGAAAGACCCTTGCTAAAATGTTGATTTATTCTTAAGCAAGCCAGCGAAGTAATGTTAAATGCTGACTTTCAAACTATTGTGGTCGTTGTTGGAACAAATTTCCCAACGAATAGCTAAGTTTTTCGAAAAGTGGCCATCGGCATTTGCTATAGATAGGCTACTTATCTTAGGGACTGTTCTTGGTAGTTCAGTATCACAAGTCTTCAGCCATTACTGGTTGCTCGCTTGTTTTTTTCACATTCCATTTACTCAAATCACTGCATTTCGAACGTGCAATGAGTATGGTGAAAAAGACGCCTATAGAAAACGCTATTTAGGACAACAATTGTTGAAACTGTTGTTAGTGACATTGTCTAACTGTTTTGGAAATGGTACTAATTACAGTAAAATAAAAATATTCGTGGTTTGCACAAGACAGTAAAAGTAGGTCAATAGGCTCTAGCGAAAGATGTTGTATAATAAGCGTAGGTTTTGGCACGTGTTTGATTGGCTGGCCAGGGGGTTGGTTTAGTCCGCCTTTTTGGACAAGCGGGTCCCATTCATGTACTGGCCTGTGGAGTCTGCCATTTCTCGCTCCCGAATGTCTTCTACTTGTTTATCTTTGCCTGTGAGTAGTCGAATGCACATCTTCACAATGTACTAAAACAAAACCGACTGAATAAGTCTAAAGCAGAAGTGTTCTTTAAGTTTTTAGTAGTAACATGGAAAGCAGGTCTACTAATAGTCTGCGCGTAAATGCCAAACAAGAACTCACAGTATGCAAAAAATTACTGCTTATTTAGGACTCATGGTTGCCAAATTTAATACATGGTGTCTTGTGGATAGACGTCTATAATGACTCAACAGTTTAAGATGGTTTGAACCCACCGCCATGTCCATTAATTGGGTCTGACACGCCGCAAATCCCCATTGTCCACAAAGAACCGTAAAAATTATACCTAACACACGCTTATACAAATATGAAATCATACCTAGAAATACGGTAAGCTGTTGCATCTAAGTTAAGTGTCGCCTTTATATTATTTTTTTAAGCTGTCTGGGTTATGAGGTAGTCGAACACAATTACAAGCCTTACTCGTTTACAGAATCCCTAAAAGGAGACGATCGAGAGCCCAAATCGCTGACATAAAAGAACTCCCAAATAAGTCAATTTGCAAATTCCGAGTTAAGCCATATCGAGACTGATAAATTTAACTTCTTTCACGACTAATGGAACCACAAATAATATAGGCGTTTTAGTGCGAATTATCAGAAAGTGCAAAATGGCTTAAGAGCCACGCGACTGGACGGTGGTTTCATGCGTTTCGGCTCAGGCTGGTGTTTCCCAGAGCGAACCTCTAGTTAAATACTGCCGTAGTTTATATTATCCAAAGGATTTTAGATTATCTGATTAATGTGAAATAAGGTGAAAAACTCATTGTGAGCAATGAACAGGAACATTTTTTTTTCAAAAGGCGTTGGTACGAGCTCGTTTCTTATACACTTTGAAGTGCGGGAGGCGGCCCCCTCAATTTGTCATAGGAGATGCTGACAATACCGACACAAAAATAGTCACCTACACACTGGACATGATGTGTCATTGTGATATGTTCTTAGGCTTGTCCACAGAGGACGTTTTTTTCTGAAATTAAGGCTTTTTTACCAAAAAACGGGGTTTTGGGCTCATTGAGGTTACTCAAGGCTTGTCGTTGCCCAAAAATATTTCCAAATCAACTTTTACTGCCTGTGGCAACTATTTTACTGTGTAAGATAACACTGCGAGAGGACAATTTGCCAAGCTCCGTTTCCTATTCCACGTTACGATGATGAATTACTGGTGCATGTCATTTATACATTCCACTAAGTCTGTATTCACGTTGATTTAAACTTATCAAATCTTTTATAAATTTTTTATAGAGTCATGCAGGTATTTTTTTCAATCTTGATTCAAAAAGTATGCGCACAAAAATCTTAAGTTTCCTATAGGATAGTTATCAGTTGCCTCGAAATGCACCTGGTAAATTGGGCTATTAAGAAAGTACAGTGCATCATTTACTTCTAAACATCATTTCAGCATGTTTATAGTAACCAAGTAGGTACTTGAATAAGAGAATGGATAATTTGTGGGTAGGACAATAACATGTGCTGTACCACATTTTGTACCGAGTACCAACTCGAAGATCAACGGACCATTTCTATGGGATTTAGCTCGTAATAGAAAACATCTGAAATTAATTTCACTGAAACCACCCATCATAGCATGTAATGAAAATGCAATTTCGAAGCTTCGAAAACATTAGGATCAACAAATAAACTAAGAAAGATCTTGAGTGAAAAGTTAGCGGTTAAATCGCTGAAACAAACACTGGAACAGTGGCAAAATGTATCTGTGGTGATGTTTATTTGACCAAAAACGAAAGCAAAACAGGCGAAGATTATTGCAAGTGTTTCATACGGGTAAGCATAATGTTTGTATCACGCATAAACCCTTTTCTGAATAAAATTATCCGTGAACCTCTAACTCCTGGTCGACTGAATTAAAAGATTTGTGTTACCGGTGGCGTATGGACTGCGAGTCGTGCCAGGTAATGTGGCTTTAAAGAATGCTATTTTGATGATAAAATCTCAAGGGCAACTTTCTCCACTGTGGCTGCATTGCAATAATTAAATTAACTTTCAGTATATTGTAATGAAGTTAGAGAATTAAATCTGATGCTCCCTAACAAAATTTTGGTGCCTAGACTAAAAATCAGTTCCCTCGGGCTTAGATCTTCACACTTGTAAATGATTGGCTGGAAGTGTTAGAAGTAACTCACACAACTCCAGATAATTTGCATTACGTAGAGTGACCAGAGGAGAAAATTGAAGAACAAATATAAGCGAGGGTACCAGGTATTCCTCACGATGTAGGCACACCAGTTGGAGGCATGAAGAAGACGAGTTGGATAGAGGTAGATCCGGAAGTAGAACCTTGGGTGGACCAAAACGCAAAATATCTGCACTTTTAATGAGTAAAACATTTGTCATTGTACTTAGAGTCCATTTTTACTATAGGAATATTTGGTGTACCTAGATCTTTACAAATCATTTGCTAGGTATGGCACACGTGAAGCCCCACCCGAATACGCAATCTTTGCTGTGCCAATATGTGGAATTGCAACCAATTTTTGTCCTTCTGCGAATCCTATTTCAAATGGAATGTTCAGGCTAAAATGGGAGCACCTTAATTCTACTGAAATTTCTTTGGAAATCACAATCACAGAGCCTGCAAATATTCCAATTATTCAGTTTTATATTCATGAACAAAACTGAGTGAATTTGACTATAAGAGTCTGCATGGTACCAGTAAACATATAACCAATTAATTATGGAAAGCTTTCAAAACTCACCACACACATGAATAAGGTAGTAGCTTACACAATCCTCTGACTAAGACACACAAAATCAGCTACCATTTTCTTTGTCCGCAGGATTTCCTGTTTTTAAACGATGCATTTTTCGAAACCATACGCATGAAATACAAATTTTCCATTTAGTGTGCATGCACGCGCTAAAGTTCACAACTGACACTAGAGCCACGTGGCTCACACTCGTTTGCTAGTCGATTCCTCTGGCAAGAACTAAGCTGTTGGGTGTGGAATAGGGACCAATCTACCGTGCTTCGCGGTGTTATACTCACCAGTCATAAACCAATTAGAAGAGGACTTTTCAAGTTTTTTAATATGTGACTACATTGCATACAAATCACCTACCTCCCGCGGTAGGCAACTAAAAGGAGGTCCGAGTAACCAGGATTCTTATCTTTTGCCTAGGCTACGAGGGAATTATGGGTTCCTCATTAATGCAGGACGCTGTGTAAAATAGCTGAGATTAAACCACCGACACGAGAGTAAATATTAATGCTAATATATCGCGTGAGAAGTGTAAAATGAAAGACAAAAAAGTGCCTTCACTGGTGTTCAGGATTTGTGGAGACTACTGCAGTCATGTTGTAAAGAAACTTGTGTTTCAAAATAGGCGGAAAAGGTGCCCGAAATCGGCCCCAGTAGAACTATCTGCTAAGATATCACTCTGGAAAGTTAAACTAAAAGTTCTTAAAGGCTTTGGACCTAACAGAACACAAGCTCATGTGTTAGGTCACATACTTCGTGAAAAAGGCCATGAAACCGCAATCAAGTGTCGTCACTTTAAATTTGCCAATAATCAATCAATAAAAAGTGGCAACTAAACTCAATCAAATCCCCTAAACATAGATCTGAAGACAAGTATCAAGACACCCGTGACCGTGTTTTAATTTATAAACTGGATTTTGTGCAAACTTACCATGTAACGGTGAAAAGGAAAAAGGCAACATTGGTACAGTATTCTCCCCATTTTCTTTTTTTACCTCCACGGTTGTTGATATAGACACACACCTTTCCCGTCTCTAGAATCGCATCAGAGATGTCGTGCAGAAAGAATACGATGCAACCATGGTAGTAGTACCTAGAAAGTAGGAATTTGATTTGCCTGTCTTTTTATTGGTTAAAAAAGCAGGAAAAAATATGTAATTTACAACGAAACAACATTAACCTAAGGGTTCGTTGCCAAAACCGCCGAAACATATCGGACTTAATCAAACTTGTGTGATGCACAAAAATGGAGAGAATGGTACAATTTCATTAAAATCACTTAACGGTTTGGCTTACCCATAAACGCACAACAAAATACCTGTCCATATCGGAATCAGGTTTTTTTAATATCAAGGAACACCGCCTTAAACAGGGATTGAAAGGAATGCTAGATGACTTCAACAATTTATACAAATTAAAAAATGAGAGATTTGAAGAACATAAAGTTCAGTTTCTTGCTTTTTACAAATTTATGTGAAAAAAACATACCTTGCAATGTAGGAGACATATACCAACATGATCGTCACTAGATGATGCATCAACATCATGGTGGAATCTTTTCTCTTTTTGTCCATGTACAATTCCAAATAGACTCCTGACAAGTAGTAGCCTAGCTGAATTAAGTAGAGATTCCGAATATCGGAAGGTATTGGCCGGCTGAAGTAAATCTCTACAAATAAGAGAATTTGATCCTTTTGATTAAGCAGAAAACATTATCCCGCTTAGATTTTCATTTTAAATGCACAGAGATGCGAGCAAGTTTGGTAAATTAATCCGAACCAGAGGAATTTCGAGCAATATTAATGCCCAGGAGGCGTTTGGCCGTGAAAAAAAGTTTTGTTGGACACGGAACATCTGTGGGTTACATGATGATTCCAGTTGCTTCATCTTACATAAATTTCGTTGAAATTGCTTAAGTGCAATTTGAACCCTAAGTAGTTTCAAATACACGGGTTTGACTTTAAAGGCCTCTGCTTACTAAATTCTGTCCATTTTTACGATTTCCGCAGATTGATGTGATGATTGTCTATGTTAAATTTACCCACCACCTCTTAAACAAATCCTTGATTCCTTACTCGCAAACATAACTCAACCGCTCGTAAAATGCCTAAAAGTTTGATGCTAGGACAGATCTCAAAAAAAGACTCCTTACAACCTACTAAAATATCTTTATAGGATGTCGGTAGAGTTAGGAACAGTTAGCTAAATGTCTTGCCATGAAATCCCATGCAAAAGTGTACAATTTCTTAAGCCTACTGACGCTGAAGTCAGTCATTTTGCACATTTTTTATTTAAGAAACCATTCGTGGTATGAGGACAAAGAAATAGGCACAAACCTTACCCAAATTAGTCTGGTTGGTGTACACTTCGCATGGTTGTTGAATGAAGTTGTATTTACCACTGAACCACGAGATGTAGGCCCCGTAGACGGTCACAAAGCAGTAGTACAACGACCTAAAAACTCCTTCGGGTGCTTTTTCGATGTCAGGCTCTCGGAATTCCGCCCACTTTGCCAGTCGCTAAAATTGATCAGAGATTAAGAGACTCACGGGGGCAAAATGTCAACAGGAGCAACCAGAGACTAATTGACAGGACGCGGTAGAACCTCCAACATGGTATGTACAGGACTACAAGGGCATAAAATTGTGTGCCATTTAGCTCACTAGTTTGATTTTATGGAACCGGGGAATGAGAAGTTAGGAAATTTGGCAAAAGTAGTATATCTCTTTGTAGAATTTTTTATTGTAAAGTATTCAGGTGGATTTTGTACTTCAGCACATGCCAATGAGAATTAAACAAATGATTTATCTCATCTGGTAGCCGTGATTTGACTTAAATCAATCCAACAAACACGCTGAAACCCTGCATATCCTGTAAAGGGGATGCTTGTGGATGATAACCAACTTGTTTTATAGTATTATAGGTAGGTAGGTTATTATTAAAGGTAGCTTAGGGAGGGCCGGGTTGCATACAACTTAGAATTTGCAGTTGATGAATAATATCTACTTGACAGTTTTGAAGTTATAAAAAATGATAGCCTTTGTGAATCGTTTCAGTCTACTTCCAATCCAGAGAATGCGGATCAACATCAAGCTACTGAGTCTTAAATAAATCTAACAAAGAACAAAAATCTACTTTCTTGAACTTTTTTCCTTAAATACAGATTGTCCCTAGATGACCAACTCAACTTAGAGCCAGGAACATTACCTCAGGAGATGCAGTTTATGTTGGAAAAAAAGTTTGTTTGAAACTAACAACAAAGTCCTCGTTTTTAATACACAATGATCCTAGTCTAAAAACAGGAAAATCGTGCGTGGCAAGTTCGTTTGATACTTGCTGATCATAGGAAGTCACGTAAGACTTAGAATTTGAAGTTATGTTGCTAGCGTCCCACTAAAAATAACCCTAAGAAACGTTGTGATGGATGAACGTAATTTATTTGATTACCATAACATCTTCAGTAGATATGTCCACATACTTTGGTATGCTTTTAAAGTCCAGGTATATCACAATGTACCAAAATGATGCGACTGAATAAATTGATCTTTTGGACTTTATTTTCTGCTTGCTTCTTTGCATTGTACAAAACAAAAAACCATGTGCAAAGATGCATACTGTTTTTTTTGTGTCTTGTAGAAGATTTGTAGAATTTATGCAATTTTTTGCTTTACTTAAAGTGAGAAATCGTTATTTATTCACGGTGTGCCATTATAAACTGCTTAACATTCATGAAATTCGTAGAATTGATAATTCTTCTTCCGAATTTTTATCTTAATTTGAAAAGGCTTTTCTCGTCATTATTTAGCAATCACATGTATTTGGGAGTTGACATAGGTACTTATGTGTGATTTTAAACACAGGCTTTCTTACTGAGTATATTTTCAGTCAATTATTTTGATTTTGCTAAGATGTTGGGTAGAAATGAAAATAGGCCTTTCAGCACCAACTTACATAGATCAGGGGTTTAGTAACATGACGGAAAAGAATAAGGCCTGTTGCTACAGGAATATGGCGAGAAATTCATACAGAGATGGCGTGCCTTCGGTAAAGATCCGTTTCGTGAATTCGTGATCATACGGGTACCGCTCGAAATCAAACGCGAATTCAGACATAGTTTTGTAGGTTTGTCGAAGAAATAGGGGGAGTGAAGGAGGATCCCGGCTGTTCTCCGACAATGGATCATCGTTGGCCCTAGCGAAAGGAGTGGTCACACAGAAGGAAATGAGCAGGATTCGATGCATAGCGTTTTTCCAAAAAAAACCTGCTTTTTCTAAGAATGTGCGATTATATTCTACGATATATTCGCAATGCCTTAACTGTAGGTATACAAAGCCAATACGAATTGCTGCATTGTAGGATTGGCTCATTCTGTGTGAAGTCACAATCGTGCCGATTGTGCTAGCAGTCCTGCTAAAGCTGAAGTGCAAAACAAATCGACTTGAGTTCGTTCTACCATGTAAGACTGACTAGATTCCCAGCGCAAAAACGGCTAATAAGATTTGCAACATTGAGGAAAAGTGATTGGTTTGCATTTGGTTTAGGACCAATCATTTCAGTGTACACCTCCTCATCGTTCTTTTAATAATATTTACACATATATTGAATTTACGAAAGCTAGATGGTAGCACAATTAATAATTTCGATATTTTAACACATGTGAAGTGACAGAAGGTAAAATTTTAAATCTTGCAACTCACTGCATCATGGTTTTACTAGTTGACTATGATACTTGCCTGTCTAAGAAAAAAAATGTGATAATAATGAAACATTCTGTAGGTTTTTATTTTGTAGAACCAAGGTAAGTAGTTTTGTTAAGAAGCTCGCCTTTCGTTATTCGCACACAGGAACGAATTTTTTAACTGTAATGAAAAAGCAGTGTTTTATAATACACTTTTATTAAATACAATTAATTACAAAGCGTACCTACTTGATTTGATACTAAAAACCCCAACGACTTAGACAAATTTAGTAACCCTAAAAGTATTATCAATCTAATAGTGCACTTAACCATACTTAAGGCTTTGTAAAAATTTCATCCCCTCTAAAGGTATCTAGCGTCACGATTGGGTAACTCGGAAAATTAGTACGTTTGAAAAGTGGTATGTCCCGTGTGTTGTAGCTTTACACAAGAGGAACAAAAATAATGTAAACGTGGACCCACCTAACCTAGGCAAAGGGGAGCAATGATTCTGCCTGCAGAGAGACCATTGTGTGTTATGTGAAGCCCGTGCGTTTCATGAGGGTCTTTTTGTCCAGCCCACTAATTTATCCTAAGCTGCTTACTAACAGTGTGAAGGTGTAGTGACTAGAGGATCTAGCGCTACCTTACAACCCTCTAGTTAATAGCCCGTAGCTACCCGAGGATAGGAAAACGGAGGCGACAGAGAACACGACCGTTTATTAGGGTCGAACCAGCCAAGTGACTTTGTCTGCGTATGAGTACGCGTGAGTAACAGACGAATGCTGACAAAAATCAATAACAAAAGGGGATGAGTCATCGCTACACACGGGCCTTCATGCACGCATCACTCACGCGAGGTGGCTGTCAGTCCACTACAAAGGAAAAAAACCAGTCAAAAGTATCGAAATATCTGAAATGCACTGCAAAATTCCGAACTAGGTGCCCAAAAAAGACTATAAGCCCAAAGGCGATTAAAACTTGTTAGTTTATTTATTCACAAACCGTTTCGAACTTCGCGTTTCTGCCTAGTCCCAACAGCTACAAAAAATCACGTGCATCGAAAACCTTCTCGGCAAATTTTAAAACAGGCACGAACCATGATGTCACATCTATAAATAGGCTGCTTAGTAAATTGAAGATGTTCGTACTTAGATGGCATATTCTTATAACTAGTGCATGATTGTGCTGTCTCTACGCTTCACTTGCAATTTCCTCAGTAGCTCCTATTTACTGAGTTCAAGTGTTTGTTTAATCTTTGGAATATCCGCTTTTGATTGCAACAGATTAACATAAGTACCTTTTTGACGTAAATGAGAGTATGCACTTAGGGACTATCTCTAAAAGCGTGTAAACTTCAACCGACTTAAAAACTGAATGAGTTGACTCAAAAAGTGCCCTCGAAATTCGAGCGCTGCTCGTTCAGCTGTGGAAAGTGATCCCAGTGTGTTAACCAAAGCCAATATCTTCCCCTCTGTTTTATAAAGGGCGATCGACACTGACCACCAACCAACACCGTTGCATAAAAGTCTCTTAAAGTTGGCCTAAAAAGCTTAGATTAGCATGAGGATCCTATGATGCTGAGTATGTTATTCAAGCTTAATACAGACTAAGCAACGATTTCGAAGGGACAAGAATTATCATTAAATAATTAAAAAGTATCTGGTGCTATAAAATCCACTTTTTTTAAATTGTAGATGCATCATGCGTGGTCAAATGATTTAACGATTGGTCATTGGAGTTCATGATTTTGTAGTAAATATAGACGAAAAACACATACTGTAGTTCTGTGGCTGTCTCCGGAAGCCTTAGAATTAATAGAAAGCAAAAATGTGTTTAATACGATATGAACAATAAAGTTTCGTAATTGACTGTGGTGTTTCGCTCATACGAAACCAAATCTGCCTTCTTAATGCAAATACACAGGAGTTGCAGTAATTCGTAGTCCTGTCATTTGAAAGAAATTTAGAAATCAATCAACAATGCAATCTTCTGCATATTTTGAAGACAAAAAATCCAGGATTGTCTAACACTAATGTTGTCTTTTTATACAAAGTTGTGACTTTGCTTTACATTATGCACAGGAGTAACCAAGTAAAATTTTTTTTATGCCGAACCACAGTGCGCTTACTCACAGAAGCTTTCAATAACAGACTAACATCGTGGTAATTCTTAACAAAACGTCGATGATTGAAATTGGTTAGCGCAAAAATCTAATTGGCATGGAATTGGCTGAAGTCAGAAAACGATGTAATGTCCAATGATTCGTCATTCTAGAATTAATTAATTATATACTTCTATATTTGGCCTTGCATTAAACAAAACGTCCTAAATTGGACTAAAAATCGTGCAAAAAGTCAAATCTAAAAGGTGAAATGGCATATTAGACCTCACTCGACGTGGTTAAAACCTAATGATAAGATGCCTGGTTATGTTGATACTTAGGTCATTGGATTCTTCTGAGACTTCAACGATTTTTTTTACAGATTGGTTCCCACAAACATGATGACTCCAAGTGTACTTCGACCAAAACGTTTTCTCGCGGTTTGAATAGGCACAGACTAAAGGGCCATTAATGTTAATCGTGAAAGGAAGCGGGACAGCTTAGCTACATACCTGCTAAGGCCTGTAAAAATCGATACCCCACTGATCCTAAAAGTCAAGCCAGGAGCAACTATTTCCACGACCACTAACTTCATCCAGCAAATTGGCCAGATGGTTTCAAAATTTTTGTGATTATGAAAATCAAAGGGCTGCAGGATGCTGACAGTTGAAATAGCCCATCATCGTCATCCTCGTCGGCATTCTAATTTCGATGCTATGGCGACAAATCGGTCTTCTCAAAAATTCACTACTTTTTTTCTATTTTCGTAAGCGTTTGAGGTTACCGGTTCTCAGAAAATAAACGGTGAACACTTCAAATTGTCAAACACCCACACCACTTGCCATATAACCCAACTCATCGCATCTCTCTTTATCCGCGCAAACCTGTTCTTCTCAGAGACTCATCCAACTACAGGCTTTCGTGGCATTTATGAGAAGTGCAACCAATTGTAGGTATTGGATGAGATGTTATCCATTGTTGTTCAATACTGTTCATAGCAGTTCGACGTCAAACATGAACTAGTGCTAGCTTACTCAATATTACTGAATGACTATCGTACTAACATTAGGTGTGTGTGTGTGTACGACCCCAACTAATTAACGGTATAGCCCCTTCTCTAATTCTGGTCCTCTCAATGCTTTCTAGACACTGCATGAGATCACATGTTATAGCACGCATATAACACCCTTGGGTGGGTCCAAACCAGCAGCCTTATTTTAGTATGGAGTTCATTTGAAGTCAAATGTTGCGTACCCACGCATTAGTAGCAGTTTCAACCGACTAAGGTCTACAGTTCAGACAAAAGTAGCATGAGAGTACCTTTGCTCCACGTCGCTGATATTAATGTTCACCAGTCGTATGTGCTATTTCATTCACCCATGATAACCCAGTCTGGCTGTCAAATAAATGGACACGTCTGATGTTTCTCCCGTTTTCTAGATAAATGTAGAATTTATTAAAGATACATTTTCCAATTTGGCCTTCTAATAGGACGTGGATGTTCTTAGTACTGTCTGAGAGTGAAAATAATGTGGCACAAATAATCACCTGGGTTCGAAACCCCGTATTGATCGACAAAACTGCTGGCTAGAAGTGGACTGACAGCCGCCCCGCGCGAGTGTGCGTGCATGAAGGCCGTGTGTAGCGAG